TTGTAAAGTTTTAAATTGCAGTGTGTCCTTTTCCTTCCCTCCTCCCCCACCCATCCCGGGCTACCTTTACAATTATCCCCCTAGTTGTGTGCTGAATTAATAAAGAATGCATGAATGTGAAGCAACAATGACTTTATTGCCTCTGCAAGTGGTGCTCGAAGGGGGGAGGGTAGTAGGGGAGGGTGGGGTGGTTGGTTTGCAGGGAAGTAGAGTTAACAGGGTGGTGGGGGAGGGGCAGAGGGTTCATCAAGGAGCAACAAACAGAAGTTTCACTCCGTAGCCTGGCCAGTCACAAAACTGGTTTTCAACGCTTCTCTGATGCGCACCGCGCCCTGCTGTGCTCCTCTAACCGCCCTGGTGTCTGGCTGCGCGTAATCAGCGGCCAGGCGATTTGCCTCAACCTCCCACCCCGCCATAAATGTCTCCCCCTTACTTTCACATATATTGTGGAGCGCACAGCAAGCAGCAATAACAATGGGGAGATTCTTTTCGCTAAGGTCTGAGCGAGTCAGTAAGCTGCGCCAGCGCGCTTTTAAACGGCCAAATGCACATTCCACCACCATTCGGCACTTGCTCAGCCTGTAGTTGAACAGGTCCTGACTACTGTCCAGGCTGCCTGTGTACGGCTTCATGAGCCATGGCATTAAGGGGTAGGCTGGGTCCCCAAGGATCACGATAGGCATTTCAACATCCCCAATGGTTATTTTCTGGTCCGGGAAGAAAGTCCCTTCCTCCAGCTTTCGAAACAGAAGAGACTGCCTGAAGACGCGAGCATCATGTACCCTTCCCGGCCAGCCCACGTTGATGTCGGTGAAACGTCCCTTGTGATCCACCAGGGCTTGCAGCAGCATTGAAAAGTACCCCTTGCGGTTTATGTAGTCGGCGGCTTGGTGCGCCGGTGCCAAGATAGGGATATGGGTTCCGTCTATCGCCCCACCACAGTTTGGGAATCCCATTGCAGCAAAGCCATCCACTATGGTCTGCACGTTTCCCAGAGTCACTACCCTTGATATCACCAGGTCTCTCATTGCCCTGGCAACTTGGATCACAGCAGCCCCCACAGTAGATTTGCCCACTCCAAATTGATTCCCGACTGACCGGTAGCTGTCTGGCGTTGCAAGCTTCCACAGGGCTATCGCCACTCGCTTCTCCACTGTGAGGGCTGCTCTCATCCTGGTATTCTGGCGCTTCAGGGCAGGGGAAAGCAAGTCACAAAGTTCCATGAAAGTGCCCTTACGCATGCGAAAGTTTCGCAGCCACTGGGCATCGTCCCAGACCTGCAACACGATGCGGTCCCACCACTCTGTGCTTGTTTCCCGGGCCCAGAAACGGCGGTCCACGGCATGAACCTGCCCCAGTAACACCAGGATTTCCACATTGCTGGGGCCTGTGCCTTGTGAGAGGTCCATGTCAATTTCCTCATCACTATCGTCGCCGCGCTGCAATCGCCTCCTCCTCAGCTGGTCCTGGTTTGGCTTTGGCATGTCCAGGAGGCTCTGCATGTTTTCCAGGACAATGCGCGTGGTGTTCATAGTGCTCATAATTGCCGCGGTGATCTGAGCGGGCTCCATGATCCCAGTGCTGGCTATGGCGTCTGGTCTGAAAAAAGGCGCGAAAGTAGTATCTGACGGACCAGGGGAAGAAGGGAGGGAGGGAGAGAGGGAGGGAGGGAGGGGCGAGTGACGACATGGCGTACAGGTACAGGGAATTAAATTCAAGAAAGGTGGCTTTGCATCAGGGAGAAACACAAACAACTGTCACACAGAATGCCCCCCCCCCCCAAAGATTGAACTCAAAAGCCTGGGTTTAGCAGGAGGGAGGGCGGAAGCAAATGAATGCAGAATAAATCTATTTTTTACATCTTAAGACGACGGTGCAGCATGACTGATAGCCCTTGGCATTTTCTGGGTGCTTGGCAGCAAATACTGGGCGCTTGGCAGTAAGCCTTCAGGTCTATTGCACGATCTGATGCCCACTGCAGTATGACAACGATGGATACCAGTCGTAATATGCTATCTACTGCCCAAAAGGCAAGGGGTTGCTGCTGTGTAGCAATCTAGCCCCATCCTACGCATAGTACATCTGATAACCATCATCGTCAAGGCAAGGGGGCTGGTGCAATGCAGCCCCACGGCTGCCAGCCCCATGTCTGCCAGCACCCAGATCGCCATCGGCCTCTTCTGGGTGCTTAGCAGACAACACTGGGCACTTGGCAGAAAATAGCATACTACGACTCTGCTAACGTGCAATGAGCCAGCAGGGCGCCTGGCAGAAAATAGCATACTATGACTGATAACCATCATTGTCTGCACGGGTGCCCATGATCGACAGCCGCTGCAGTACGACGACGACGGATACCAGTCGTAATATACCATCTTCTACCAAAAGGCAAGGGGCTGGTGCAATGCAGCACCACGGCTGCCAGCCCCACAGCTGCCTGCACCCAGATCGCCAATGAAGGCTACCAGTCATGCTGCACCGTCTACCGCCAAAAGGCAGTAAGCTGCTGCTGCTGTTTAGAAATGCAGTCCCACGTTTGCCGGCACCCGGAAGAGATATGGTGACGGTGAGCTGAGCTGAGCGGGCTCCATGCTTGGCGTGGTATGTTGTCTGCACAGGTAACCCAGGTAAAAAGGCGCGAATCTATTGTCTGCCGTTGCTGTGACGGCGGGGGAGGGGCCTGACGCAATGTACCCAGAACCCCTCGCGGCACTGCTTTGCATCATCCGCGCATTGCGATCTCAACCCATAATTCCAATGGGCGCCGGAGGCTCCGGGAACTGTGGGATAGGTACCATAGTGCAATGCGCCGGAAGTCGACGCTAGCCTCGGTACTGTGGACGCGGTCCGCCGACTTCATGCACTTAGAGCATTTTAGGTGGGGACACACACAATCGGCTGCATACAACCGGTTTCTATAAAACCGGCTTCCATAAATCCGACCTAATTTTGTAGTGTAGACATAGCCTCAGTGTAGTGACGTTACAGTGTCCCTCTGGTGTTTGTCAGACACACATAGCTGCTCAGTGCTGTTCTTGGTGCTCCGATGTCAGCTGTGCTAGCAGGCAGTGCAGAATGTTCATTCAGCAGACCTTGATGTTTGCAAAGAAAGACCTCAGGCTCAGTTCGGTGGCGAAGGCACTCGCCCAGGTTTATTGTCAGCAAAGCACGGTACTTGTGCCCTGTCTACCAGGTCACAGGGACACTAATTCATGTATGCCTGTGACAAAGTAAAGGCTCAGTCAGGACACCAGGATCCTGTCCCCTTGGCCAACATAAAGCTGCCCCTCCTATAACTTCTCCTTTTATACCTCGATACAAACAAACATCACTCCAGATGATGTTAGTTACCACCCTTACACCTTGTACCTGCTAATTCGAACAAAACATCCTCCTCTGTTATCCTGTCATCCCTCCTTATCTTACGGGGGTTTCGGTGTGTGCCTACAAAATCTCTTAGGAATTTGTTTATGTAGGTACTTGAGAATTCTTGGTGTTCTTGTACCATCCTCTCCGGTCAGGAATGTGCTTACTTGGTTAGCCGATACCTGGTGTGTTACTATTCTGCCAAGGCCAGGCCTGCTTTCGTTTACAGCCTTTGGTTCATACTGCTAGTTATGCCTCGGGCTCCAGGAAGGCCTACAAAAGTCAGTTTAAGTAGATCAGTCTGTTCAGTTTATCAGAGGTGTCGAAGTACCTTCCCAGGGAGAAAATACCAGGTATTAAAAAGCTCTTTAATCTAGCAGAGAAAGGCACAAGAAGAACCCACGGTAGGAAGCAGAAGCCAGAAAAATTCATATTAAAAATCAGGCACACATTTGTAACAGTGAGTTAACAAGCTACCAAGGGAAGTGGTGGGATTCTCCATCTCCTGATGTCTTCAAATCAAGACTGGCTGTCTGGAAGATCTGCTCTAGTCAAGCATACAATTTACTGTGCTTAATACCCCTGTGCTGATGAGATGGAGTCTCCCTCCCAACTTGACTGTTATTGAATGTGACCCAAATGTTTATAGTAGGCTACTGTCTTTACACTGAACTGGCCAGGAGTTTTGCCTGGAGGAGGAGTGCAGGATTGGGCTCTGTAGGCATACAAGCCTGTCTGGTGTCTGAACATGATTTTAAAGAATGATGAGCCAGTAATAAAGCCAAGAAATTGGAGCATTTTTCTGTCTTCAGTTGATTTGCTTTTTATTGTGAAAACCCCCGTGACTGGCATCTTCTGACATAACCATCATCAAGGAGTTCAACCAGCCACAAAGATGCTGAGCCTGTTATTTTACCATAGGCTCCATCAGACACTGTAGGAAGGAAATAAGTAACTAAGAGTGAATGATCTAAGATGAGCTTTGGGATACTACAGTGATGAGGGGCTTTGCCTTAGGTAAAAGGTGGGCTGGGGGCTATGGTCTATCTGAATCTTCCCCCGGAAGGGTAGAGAACAGCCTGCAAATGTTGGAACTCATTAAGAAATGAGTGAGTGAAAGTAACGGGCAGTGTTTGAAATCTACAATGAACCTGAAGTTAGCCAGCAGATGTTCAGCCCTCGCAGGGGTTTGAGGGGGTTGTAGGGAACATTAAGGGGATGAGGGGAGCTGGGAGCCATCAGGTTGTCTAACTGTTAACCCCCCAAATGGCAGAAGTCTGAAAATAAAGGAAATACAAATGCTATGGTGCTGTCTCAGACTGCTGGGGAAGGGTGTGCACTGCAGATGTGGGTAGCATAGTGGATTTACCTGTGCTGGGAAGCCAGATTTCCATACTATGGGCCAAATCCAGAGCTTCTTAGTTAGCTCCTACTCCAGGCACACACTCATTGGCTTCCATCAGAGTTTTGCGTGAGTAAGGCTGAGTCCTGTATTGGGTTCACAGCTTGCTAGCTCACCACTTTCCAGTCGAAAGCCCCACCCCTTGCTGGCTGAGTAGTTAACTATTCCTTCCCCTCATTACAGGTTGGATATGGCTGGCTGACTGACTGCTAAGAGACAGCGTGGGCCAGACATGACCTCCGCTCTCAAGGCCCTGCCCAACATCCATAGAGCCTGCATGATCCCAGCCTGTCGGGTCCAAGCATCTCACCCGCGCAGTATGTCTCTCTGGGAGCACGGGCTGCACCTCTTCCGCAGTGCCGTGGGTGTCGTCCTGCCGGCCCCCATGCTGAGAAGGGCCCTGGTGCTCAAAACAGATGGCTGCCCCAGGCTGGTCGTGAGGGACCGGGCTTTCCCTGTGAGGAGGAACCTGTATCTGGTGGGCTTCGGGAAGGCTGTGCTGGGAATGGCTGCCGAGGCAGAGGAGATCCTCGGGGACCACCTAATTCAGGGGGTTGTCAGCGTCCCCCATGGCATCCGGGCATGCCTGCAGCAGGCGGGAATGGAGTAAGACTGATAGTGCCTGGATATTCCGGTGGGAGGGTGCAGAGAAGGGTGGGGGACAGGCAAATACAAAGACCCAGGCTCCTGCAGAAATGTCTGCCTGCCATAGATTTTCCCCTTCGGGTCACTGCTGAATCCCTCTTGGATCCTCTCCACCTTTCCCAATTTTAACCCTTGACCATGGGTGCAAGACTCATGGCTCAGCTTGACTGGTCTCCATCCCTCTTTGTGGGCCATCAGACTGTCCTTGGGGCTGTGTGTGCTGCCTCCATAGTGTGCTCGACCCCGTGGGGGAGAGACCAGGATCAGCAAAGGAACCTGGATAAACCTCAGTCACAGGGCCCTCTCTTGTCCCCCAAATCCCTCTTGTGGGAGTAGGGCTGCCAAGCGGGCTCTGGATAGGTGTACGTTTCGGTGGCCTGATCATCTTTCTAACCCCTGCAGGGAGATGTTGCTGAAGCCTCACAGCAGGATCCAGGTCATAGAAGGAGCTAAGCACAACCTCCCTGACAGAGAGGCTCTGAGGGCAGCCAGCATGATTCGGGAGCTAGCTGAAGGCCTGACAGCTGACGATCTCCTCCTTGTGCTGATCTCAGGTAATGTCTGGAACCCCAGGAGCAGGGAGTGAGTTCTTGTGGGACCCTGTTGCTGCCATCAGTTGTTGCCCTCCCTTCTTCTGCCCCATCTTTCCTCCCTTTATCTCTTCCCTAGCCTGGCTTCTTCCTTTCCTTCTGCATGCAGGAAACAGATCCAGAATCATGCCTGGCAAACTAGGTCAAGTTGCCTGTTGCAAAAGAAGATGAGGAGAGGCGTAAAGTGGGTCAAAGCTGTTCCCATTGCGACTCCCACACCGGTGGCAGCTCACTGCATTCATTCACATTTCAGTACCTGATCTTCTGGCAGCAGCCGTGAGTTGGCAGCAGCTTGGACCCCGGGCAGACACACTTCTCTCCCAATCACACCTCTCAGAGGAACTTGTCACAAGGATTCCATTATTGATTCCTTAGTCTAGAATCTCCCTCCTCCACCAGCTGTTGCTTTGTACTCTCCCAGGCAAGAGGTGGCTGCATTCCAGCAGGGCTGTGTGTGAAGAGTCGAATGCGTTCTGGGATGGGAGATGCTATATTATTCATTAGAGTGTTGACACACCAAGTATTTGGGCCAGCCAGTTGTGTTGCTGTTTCTCTCCCTCCGCCCACAGGCCTTGCCCTGTGGTTCGCTGCTGTCGTGCCTGCAATATCAATCCACAGTACATGCAGTTTGAAGCAGCAAAGCACCGTGTTGCCAGGTGGTGGTGCCAGGCAATCAGAAAGCATTGCTCTGCAAATATAAGCCCATCCCAAGGCAAAGCACTGAGGAGAGGCTGCCTGAGCTGTATGGAGGTCTGGATCCTGGGGCCCAAGTCTGCTCTGAGTTACATCGGGTTGACACCATGAAGTCAGTGTAACCAGTGTCTTGTATTTCCATGTTTGTATTTGTAAAGACAGACTCTCCAGGGTCATCTGATCACACAGCCATGTAGATGCTTTCTTCCCTCAGAATGGGAGGTGCCCCTTGCTTAAATTTGGGCACGTAGGCTAGGACAGTGGTTCTCAACCAGGGGTACACAGAGGTCTTCCAAGGGGTACATCAATTCATCTAGATATTTGCCTAGTTTTACAACAGGCTATGTTAAAAGCATTAGCAAAGTCAGTACAAACTAAAATTTCATGCAGACAATGACTTGTTTATACTGCTCTATATACTATATACTGAAATGTAAGTACAGTATTTATATTCCAATTGATTTATTTTATAGTTATACGGTAAAAATGAGAATTGCAATTTTTCAGTACTAGTGTGCTGTGACACTTTTGTATTTTTATTTCTGATTTTATAAGCAAGTAGCTTTTAAGTGAGGTAAAACTTTGGGGTACACAAGACAAATCAGACTCCTGAAAGGGGTACAGTAGTCTGGAAAGGTTGAGCCACTGGGCTAGGGCAGCAGAGCTCAGAACTGCAGGTACAGGAGGTGCAGGTGCTTGGGCATCAATGCACGGGTTGTAATGGGGGGCTAACTTAAGTACCCAAGTTGGAAAAATGAGGCCCCATCTGAGACTCGGAGTCACTGAGGGACTGATCCTGCAAGGGGCCAAATAGCATGGCTGAGGTGCTCCGCATTCTCACCCAGCCACCCCCTCCCGAAATCAAAAGGAGTCACTCAGTGCCAAGTAAGAGGTGCTCTGCACCTTGTAGGATCAGCCCCTAAGCACATGCATTTGAAACCTGCAGGCTCCTCCAGGAGCGATTACCCCTTTAGTGCCTTATTTCCCCCATTCCCAGTTGGGGGGCACACATTGAGGGGATGTGCTCTGCTTTGGGCGCATAAGCAATGCGGCAGTGCACTTGTGGGGTTTATTTGATTGGGTGGATATCCAACTATAGACATGCTCCTGTGAGTAGGTGTCTCCAGTTGTGCAGCCCAGTGTTAAAGAAACAAATGCACTTGGAGCTGCTCTTTGGGGATTTTGGGGGGTTCTTGATTGTGCTCCTCATCTGAGCGAGATCTAGCTCGAGATCCTCAGCTGCCTAGCTCAGCTCAGCTGGCTGCAGTCTATTCTGCCATGGTTCAGAGAGAATTTTCCAGGATTATCCAGACACGGATATAATTGGATTTGAATCATGTCTGGTGGGGATTCCCTTGAGTTTCCTCTTGTCCTCTGGCTACTGATATCTTCAAGAGACTCCTAGGCCATCCCAGGATTTGCTGTCAGCAGCAGCTCCCAAAGCATGCAATGCATACCTCCACAGAGCCCACTCTGGCTGCTCCTGCCTCGCAGCCAGATCCCTACTGATTGACTGAAACTCAGGCACTTTCATTTGTTTTTCTTGTTCATCATATTTTATTGATGGTGCTTTTTCTCAAACCTCAGAGCAGGCTTTGCCCTTTTATGGTAGTTTTCTGATACACTTCTATACATACTCACCCTCTATTTTATCCATCTATTTCCCCCCTCCTTTTTCACTGCATTTCAAGGGCCCAATCATGCTGTCAGTTGTGCTCCGCCACTCCCATTGATCAGATCACTAATGCACCCATCACCATAGTATCCAGCCTCATTTTTGTTTCCTCTGTGATTCTCTCTCTCTCTCTCTCTCTCTCTCAATAAGCATTTTGCTGTAGTGCTGTTCTGTATTTAGGTTTAGACATTGCTATATTTTTTTAAACACCGCTCATTATGAATGAGGTCAGTGAAATGCTGAAGCCAGAAGTGTCTCTCTTTCCCTGCAGCTAAACACTGAGTGAGCCATGGAGTTTGCAGTCCCCCCTCTCTGACTAGCAGTCACTGAAGTCAGATTTGAGGCACATTCACAGGGAAGTGTAGTGAGAACAATAGCACCTGGGCCTGTTTCTGCCCCGCCTTGCACCTCACATTCTCATTTATGCCAGGCAAAGCAGGCACCATTGTGAGTGAGCTCACTGAGCACAGGTGTAACTGACTGCCATGGAGATCCAGTCCTGCTCTGTGGAGAAACAGAAGACATCAGTCTCCAGGGCTATTAGTCTGGCATCTTTCACCAGCACTAAATTCCCTTACAACAAAATGGTGAGGGAAGAGAAGAAGGAAAACTCCAGCTGTAGGATGCCCTCGCTTAGCCCCTTGTCTGTGAGAGGCCAGCGTTTCAGTGCTGGGGGGTTCCTCCCACCCTGCTACACACGTGCATTCACTCACTGCGGTTTCTCCTGCATTATAGGAGGCGGATCGGCCCTACTGCCTGCTCCTACTCCTCCGATCCTCTTGGAGGAGAAAGAGAAGGTCACCAAGCTTCTGGCTTCCAGAGGAGCTACCATACAGGAGCTCAACACCATCCGGAAGGCCCTTTCCTTGTTGAAAGGTGGAGGGTTGGCCCGGGCTGCATATCCTGCACAGGTGAGTGTGGAAGACTTCTTACTTGCCCATAGCTTCTGCTCTAAGGCAGTTTTAAAGAAACACCATGAGATTAAAAGTCATGGTCAAAACAGACCTCAGTAGAAATGACCTGATGTTTAGATCAGTGGTTCTCAACCAGGGGTATGCAGAGGTCTTCCAAGGGGTACATCAACTCATCTAGATATTTGCCTAGTTGTACAACAGGCTACATTAAAAGCACTAGTGAAATCAGTACAAATAAAAATTTCATACAGACAATGACTTGTTTGTACTGCTCCATATACTATACACTGAAATCTAAGCACAATATTTATATTCCAATTATATGATTACAAATGGGAGAGTCAGCAAGTTTTCAGTAGTAGTGTGCTGTGACACTTTTATATTTTTAAGTCTGATTGTGTAAGCAAGTAGCTTTTAAGTGAGGTGAAACTTGGGGGTACGCAACAAAAGTCAGACTCCTGAAAGGGGTACAGTAGTCTGGAAAGGTTGAGAACGACTGGATGACTTCAGCTCCCAGTGAAGTCAGTGGGAATCAGCATCTGTGGTAATCACACTGCTTCTATTTAGCTGCCTGAATATGCAGTTAGGAATCAGCTATAGGATTCAAAGATTTGGTCCATATTTACAAAAACAAAAAAAAAAATCATTACTTACCTTTTTCAATAGCACATGAGATTATTAACACAGTTGTGTTGTGTTTTGTTTTTTTCAATCTGGTCACTGCATTTCTTTTGGCTTAGGGAATGAAAATTGGCTGGTCAGTTTCCTTTTACTTTCTAGTCAGTTTCACTTTCTGGCTCTCTGGCACAATGCTGCAATGATTATTTGGGTTGAAAGCAGTCCAGGCCAGCTTTCTTTGTTTTAGGAAAAACAATAACATTGTCAGTTTGTAGCAAAACAATAGTGGAAATGTTTCTATTTAATTTAGGTTTCATTCATCTTTTCAAAACCTACATTTTGGGCCAAATTTGTCCCCTTTAAACTGTCCAATGAATGTGTGCACAGGTTCAAATGAGAGCACTGGCCATGCTAATGACTGTAGCCCCCAGTTAATGTGCACATGCAGAATGCTGACTCCCCACCCCAATCTGGACAGATCAGCGTTGTGGTCTGAAGGAAATTCAGACTCCTTATTTGTTCAACAGCAGCCTTTCCCTCACTACTCCACCACTATTATCTGATGGGGCCGCTTTTTTTTAAATTTTTAAATTAAATTAATGGAGATATCCTATCTCCTAGAACTGGAAGGGACCTTGAAAGGTCATCAAGTCCAGCCCCCTGCCTTCACTAGCAGGACCGAGTACTGATTTTGCCTCAGATCCCTAAGTGGCCCCCTCAAGGATTGAACTCACAACTGTGGGTTTAGCAGGCCAATGCTCAAACCACTGAGCTATCCCCCCCTTAGCTGGAGTAAGTGGGTTGGAGCCTCAGTTGAAGTAAATCAGCAAATGCAGTCATCCACAGAACTGTGTGGATTTACACTAGCAGAGGATCTGGCCTCATATTTTACTTCTGGGCTTTCTCACTGTATTTATCAACGGAGCTCCAATTCAATCTATACCAGGTTAGGAGCCGGAGAAGAGTCACATAAAAACATGCTACTCTTTCTTATATTATAGTCCAACATTAAATGTCATTTTGATTCCATGGGTTAGAGCCCTGAGAGCTCTTATTGCGGGGGAGGGATAGCTCAGTGGTTTGAGCATTGGCCTGCTAAACCCAGGGTTGTGAGTTCAATCCTTGAGGGGGCCACTTAGGGATCTGGGGCAAAATCAGTACTTGGTCCTGCTAGTGAAGGCAGGGGGCTGGACTTGATGACCTTTCAAGG